AACTTTCCACAACTATTTGACAAAGTAAAATAGTTTCTTGAAATACTCAAAAACTAAGCTTACACATAGGAATAAAGGAATTCCTATGACTTTATTTGATGTTTAAACATACTTTCAATTAAGGGATTTCTTCTTTTTCTCTTTTAATAGAAAAAGAAAACCTTAATATACAAACAAATGCATTTTTTTTCCCCTCACTTTGCAGCAGTGTAATCTAGGAGTAATTGCAACTATATCAAGTAAAACATCTATTGGGGTAGGTTAAAGCATATAGTGATTGAGCACTTAATAAAACTATAGCTGTCATTATAGACAGTACATTACATTAGGTCAAAGAAAAACCTAAAAAAAAATTTATGTAAGTTAATAAAAATACACCTTGTCTATGAATAATTGGCTTTTCAGAAACAATTGAATGTGTGAGAATGCCCTGTTTCTAGGATGTCAAATGCTTTTTACTGAAAAACAAATCCTCCCTCCCACCTTACCCCTCCTTTTGAAAAAATCTTAACTGAAACACAGGAATAGTGCCACAGGGGGATCGTAGCTCAGGTTCTTATAGATTAGCCCCTTTCTAACCAACAGGCCACGTTCCCCCAGTAGACTCAGTCTCCAGTGATGCACCATCTTCGTTCTTAAAGAAGAAAAATTGCAATGTGTGGCAGGAAGCCCCAGGCCAGGGAGCTTATCCCATAAGTGGAAAACGGGTGAGTACTTGATCTACTGGTCCAATGATATATCACCTCTATATATTTCCAGAGAGAAACATTTTATCTTAATTACTGAAAAGTCAAAATTTTCTTGGCATGTAAATCTGTTAATTGTTTGTATCATTAGTATTAAATGGCAGCTGAGAAAGAAATAATGAAAGCAAGCAAGATAACCAATGTTTTCTATTCTAAAGATCCTCGGAGATCTTCTGGAGCAACACTTGCAGACATTATGGACTAAAATCAGCTACCAAAGTTAAAATGTACTGTCCTTCACAGGGGGTGACACTTCTTATTCCTATTGGCCTGAGTAGGAATTTTGAGCTTATAGCACCTTTGAGCATCATGTAATTTTTATTAAATTAGTTACTTTTTAGGCACTCAAGTCTGAAGAAAAAAATAATTGTCTGTTTAGTGAAATCTTATGAAAACATATGTGACTTGCAGCATTTTGGTTCATGTCTTAGAAGCATGTCTCTGCTTAGAAAAGCCTCATAGAATCTCTCAAAATCAATCTATCTATCTGAAGTGAAACTTCCATAGAGAATATAGAATTTACTAGAAGTGAATTAGCAGAAAAAGAAGTGCAAAGTAATTCCAGAATATCACTAGTGTATAAGTAAGCATTCCTTGTAAATAAGACACTCATTTATAGAAAGAGGATATAAATAAATGATGTTTGAGACTTCTTTCAAATACTTAGAGTTCTTTATATTATACATTTTAGAACATTCCACAGCATCTAAAATATATAAAAATAAATATCTACAGTATTTACAAAGTATGTTACAATCCAATCTTTAAAAAGACTTGTAAAGACACGTTCTTTAGCTCATACTGAGGTAAGGAGGTTTCTGTAAGACTGAGAAGAAAGGAGAGGCAGTCGTTTCAAAGGAATCCCTTTGTCCATGTGTTGTAGTCTGTAACACAGCTAAAAGCATGTGCCTTTCTCTGGTGGTATTACACATATCGAGCCAAAGTCATCCTTGCTGTAACTCCATCGAGGTAAGTTTAGTTATGCTAGGGATGAATTTGTCCCACTCTGCATTCTCTGTGTTGCCAGTGTTTTCTGCAGAAACCCTCACAGCTTCATCTAAATTTGAAGTCATGTTCATCCCTGGTATGTGGAGATGCAGCTCCACTGATTTTAATGGGTTGAGTATAGCTGGGATACCTATAAGATAAAATAAAGATTTTAAGATTATTTTACTGTTTGTAGCAGATAGATAACTGGCTCACCCCATGGTTGTCACTCTCTGAGCACTATGCAGGTGATGATCCATTATCAAAATGGTCTGCCAGAAAATGTTCCAAATTGCACTGGCAATTTTTAAGTGAAAACTTCCTGACTGAAGTCTAAGGGGATTTCTGATGCAGAAACCTCGATTTTCTTACTTTTAAACATTTTTACTGTGTTCTACCACTTATTTAATATGCCCTATTTGGTAAATTGCCCTGTTCCTTACCAAGATGCCACTGTGACCAGCAGAGTACTACAGCTTCCCGTGTACAAGTCTATCATAGAATCACAGAATGATTTGGGTTGGAAGAGACCTTTAAAGATCATCTAGTCCAGCCCCCACTGCCATGAGCACAGGACAGGAAGGCAGAAGAGAATGATGACAAATAATAGATATAGAACAAAACATCATCTACGGCCGCACTATCATCTGGGTTTCATGGCTGTAACCTTGCTTGTGTTGTCCATATAGGAATGGCAACACTACTGGAGAAGAGCAAGCTGAATTCAGGAAAAAAACCCATTCCTTCTGTAGTAAGTGAAAAGAACATTCAGAGGTAATTTATTTAATTATTTTTAGTTATATATTTTAGGAAGAGAGCAGCTGTCTGGAGATAGTGATTTCTCTGTTATCATGATATGGCTTATATAGTCCTAGCCTATAACATCTGAGATAACTTCTAGACAACCAATGTTCACATCCCTCAGAGAGGAGGGATGAATCCTGCATTTGCAGTCCCCTGCAAAGTCCTGCTGGGATATAACATATAATGTAATGAGAAGAATCAAATAATAAATTATATGCTATTTTCCATCTATTCACAAAGCTAAGGAATTGCACAATCATTTGTGTTTACCCAGAGCTGGGAAATCTTTAACAACCTCTGCCTTTCATTTCGGACTGTGTTAATTTGTTTATCAACCTGGACTGGAGAAAAATTAAGAGTGGCTTCCTAGCTGTTCTTGAATACACATTTTCCACCCAATAGGAAAATGAACAGAAAATGTGAGAAAATAAATTAATGTTAATTTCTTATTTGATCAGCCAGAATGCATGGTAAGCAGATCATTTGAAATAGTGAAGGACATTCAGGTAGTTCAATCTGTACACTCAATTTTGGTTATATTTGTTATGAAATAGACCACAACTTCAGTGAATTAGCTCTGAGTAGAATATAGCTGTTTATAAACATATTGCAACTCCAGACAAAACTATTTTCATAGTTTAAGCTACCTATTCTTTATTTACTTAGGAGTCTAAAGGAAGTAGGGATCAAAATAAAATATTTATATAAAATATGATTACCTTACCCCCTTCCCAATTGCAACTCAGCTTTTGAAATAAATGAGATTAAATTTTATTTCGTCAATATATAACCAAAGTTGTAGCATATTCTACAAAATATGTCTTGCAAGTTACTTTTCTTACAGTCAGTTCTTAGTTGTAAACTTCTCTCATTGCATTGTGCTTGTATTGAAATATTGTTGTATGCACAAGTAAATTTTACTTCCACAGCATCAAAAGACATAGGGACAAATATACTACCAGTGATTAATAGGTGCAGTACCATTTGCCGGAAGTGTGTTTATGTTGGTCAATACAACGTGTTCTGAAAGTTTTGAAACGTTATCAAAATTGCTGATTTGGGTGGTCAAGGATTTCCGACTCTCTGTACTGGCACGACCTCTGGTGAGTCGTTCATCATGGTGACTGCGAATGCCAAAGATGCAACAAGAAAACGCTGCTTTAAATTCTTCTCGAAATTTCCCTGCCAACCACAAAAAAGACTCATGAAAAAACTGTACTATAAGCCATGTTTCAAGAAACTTTAGAGATTAGAAAAAAACAGCTATCTAAAGCACAATTAACCCAAAATACCCAGAGGTTCTTCGAATGCAGAAGTAGGAAATCACAATTTCAACATCTTGGAGAAAGACAGCAAAAATATAACCTTTTTAAGAAGGTATGTGTGGTGTGATATGAAACCTAAATTATTCTTGGCAGAATGGACAAACTAAAATGATTTATGAAATCACAGCATGGATAGTCTACTGATTAATATCATATCTAACAAAAACAAGGAATTGAGCAATTGTAGGCTTAAATGACTAATTTAAGGACTTAAATGACTTAAATGACTGACTTGACATGTGAAATGAGAGGGCATGGCTAATTTGTATTTCATCTTGAATACATTTTAAAAGAAGATTCAAAGTGTTCTACAGCCCATTAGTCTGCTTTTGGGACTTTAGATCGTCCTCATACTACACACCAAAAAAACCCTTACAATGGGTAAATGTGTAGTGGGGACCAACAGACTTTTACCTCCCTGTATTTAGCTGTAATAACACCAGTCTGGGTCCTGGTTCTGCTGTTCATAGCCAAATAAGACAAATACAAACTAAGACAAATGTATACCAATAAGCAAACAGCATCCTGGCTGGTTCTTTGGCCTTGAACCTAGTTGGTACAATCTGGTTATGCAAGTGCTATTAAAAACTCACAGCCTCCAAAATCCAACACTTGCATATAAAATGGCAACTGGGGACAGCCCAGTTGGTAGCCTGTTCTACCTCCCAGACAGCATCTCGGGAGTGTTTAGGGGAATGGTAATTGTTTCAGACCAAGGTCATGCCAGGGAATTCTCTACCAAAATAATGGCATGGACAGTCAAATTCAAGCACTTGGACTCAGGCCCTGTCACTGTTTAGTTTAGTTATAGGTAGATAGCCTGAAGGTAATGGGATACATCAGGCAACTTATTCCAAGAAGAGGATCTAGTTCCCACTGGAGCAGCTGGGCTGATGTTACACAGTCATTAATCTTATTTGCTATGGCTCATTACATTCAAACTATACATTAAATGTGAATTCTAGGTGACTGAAACTTACCACTGAGGAAGTTATAAATAATAGGATTGGCTGCACTGTTTGCATATACAAGCCAGTGTGAGAATGTGAACCAGGCGTATACAGTTTCTCTGTCATCAGCATGATTAAACATCCCAAAAACCCTATGGAAAAAAAAAAAAAAGCAAACCTGAAAGATGGCAAAATTACAAATAATATGAAAAGATTGGTAACTTCTAGCCTAATTTTATCTCTGATGATATATTTGCAGTGGCACAGAAAAGCTGATTCCACACTGGTTGCTTTCTTGAGCCAATGAAGCCCTCTCCCCATCCCTCAGCCTCCTTCGTTGGTAGTTTAGTATAATAGAGACCAGCAGTACTTTGCTTTGCAATGGTACAGACGCATGACTTTTCTGCTAAGTACCATAGTCAATTGGTGTTAGATAAGCCAAAAAAAATGGGAAAAGTTGTTTTTGACCTATTCAAGTCATTGAGATTCCCAGCTCCAGGCTCACGCTCCAATAAACAGGAGCTCTGGAGTTAGAAAGGCACTTAACTGGCCCAAAACCTGAGGGTACAAGCATCTGCACAACAGAGAAGCGTGCTCTGCCCAGATTCCTTAGACTAAACTTTTGCCATTTAAATGAAAATCTAACTACAGGCTTACTCTGCTATTTTTCTTGAGGTAAACTGTGTAGTTTCTCTGTGATTCAGACTGTAGGTGGCCTGAAGTGCCTTTTGCAAATACTTCTGCCTCTCTGCATTGCCTGCCAAGGGACCTGAGGATTAAATTAGGTTTCAGGAAAGTGCCAGATTTGAGTGGGATGTATTTAAGCCTTCAAATCCAACTTGAAACTATTTCTTATAAACAAAAATGTTCCTCAAGCACCAATAAAAGGCTGGTTAGTTTTTAGTATATTCAAATCTCCTGATATATGTCATTATTTATTCCAGAAGTGTCATGAAATATAACTATACCAAAGTCTTAGCCTGTCAAGCACTGTACAGAAAATGGAGTGTAAATAATTATATCTCAAATAAACAGGAGAGAAAAGGTTAAATAAGTAAAACAAAGCTTGATAGGCAAACTAAACGGTTAGCTTAAGGTGTCAAAATTGTACATGATGAGCCTTGGATTTGAATCCAGCATTTCACAGTGCTGGGGGCTAACCCACAACACTACACTCTCCTGATAAACTTCAGCTGCTGCTTTAGGTAAAGACTTCTATGGGTGCATTTACAGCAAACAAGCTGTAACCCTATATAAATGACAGGTTTTAACAAGGAGATAGGCTAGATAATTTTCATGAGGAAAAGCTTGCTAATAAGGGTTCCACAAGCTGGCCTTTAGTTTAAATACTACAAATAGGTTATACATATATTTTTCTTGCATGTTTATTTTCTTGCATGCTTTCTTGTATGCTTATTTTCCCTTTCTTTATTGTGAAATAAGTTAGTTTATCCTTCATAAGTATCTTCCAGAATAAGAGGAATCTAGTAACAGAGGATTGTTTTCAGACAGAAAGCTTTACCAAGTGTTTACATTTTGGGATGAACTTTACCTTTTCAAGACATTGAGAATGCTAATTGGTAGATAGCAAAGTGCAAAAACCAGGAGGACGACCATTAGCATACGTGCTGTTTTCCTTCTTGCACGAATCTGTTTTATTTCAGCTGCCACAGCACTAATCTTTGACTTTGTTGATTGTCCCAGCCCTCGGGGCTGTGCTGAGGACTGTGGAGGCTTCCATTTTTTCTGAACAACAGAAGAAGTTCCTGGGATCTAAAAAAGACAAAATAAGGGGCACTTTGAAAAACTAGCACTGTGGGTAGCTATAACAAGAAAAATAGACATGTTGACGTGCACAATGTAAGTTTGCAGGAAGAAGTAGGGATTTTATTAAATCAATTGATGTAGCTGCAAGAAACAAATACAATTTCAGACATGCTTGAAGCACTGCATAAAAATTGTATTTTATTCAAATACATGGATATATTATAAATTTCTTTACTTTCTGTATACCTTGCCTGGCTTGTGTCTTCAAACTACCACACCAACCCTACTGCTGCAATTATGCTGATATAAAGTTCTATAACGAAGGGTTTTTTGTATGGCAGAGTAGTTTATCCCATTAATAAATTGTATTTTATTCAAATACATGGATATATTATAAATTTCTTTACTTTCTGTATACCTTGCCTGGCTTGTGTCTTCAAACTACCACGCCAACCCTACTGCTGCAATTATGTTGATATAAAGTTCTATAATGAAGGGTTTTTTGTATGGCAGAGTAGTTTATCCCATTAATATGCTGCTAATTTAAGATACTAAATAGATTTTAAACATTGGAAAACAATGATTTAAAGCCTACATATTTTTATGTGCCATAAAACTTCAAAATATGCAATCTAGATGACAATAAAGCAGCTAAAGAAGTTACAGCCTTAGTGTGCATCTCACTGCAAAGCTCTTCAAAACTGAATGCGTGTACAGTGATGAATGGAGAAGAATCATGGAAGAATGCCAAGATATAGGAAGAATTAGGTTAGCCAAAGACACCTTGCAATGGGTAGATGTAGCACCATGCTACTAAAAGAAAGTTCTCAATTTTTGTTTTCTGTGCCTTTACACAAGCCAAGTCAAATAAAGTAATTTTGCTTCAGTTCTTCAAAATTATTTCCTGCCTGCAGCCAAATGTGAAAGACTACAGATGGCAAGGGCTTTCTCAGAGAACTCTATTACAATGATATTTATAATGTTTTCAATGTTATACATTGGAAAAACCTTTTGAGTAGAAATGAGTTTTATTCAAGGGTAGCGCATTTGTCTGCAGGGTGACTAGTCTCATGAGTGCAAAATAATTCATGTTTAAAAGTATCTGCAAAATTTGGATTGTCTTTTGTAGCATTTTAAAAATTAGGGTTTATCACACAAACTGACCAGAAGAGAATAAAATATTGGGTATTTATTTCAGAAAACAAGTAAGCTAAAATTGAAACACTTGTTCTAAAATAAAAGCAAGCACATGCAGAATTTTTCTGGAATAGCTACTATGTATTTTTTGTGAATAGCTTCCTTGCACAGACAATCCCTTAATTTAGCATTTATGTGCACCATCAAACCTGATTTACAACTATTGGAACGTTTTGGCTAAGTTGTGTTGTAATGAACAGGAAATCAATGAAGCAGAACAAGGGATACATTATAACATTTATTTTTTACTAATGTCTCTAAGGACACGAAGCAAAAAACCCCTTGCACTTATTTCTACTGAGGTTTCCCACTCATTCAGCTGAAATCAGCAGCATCAGTTTCATACCTGGACACACCTGTCCTATTGCAAAGGATTTACCTGACTTAGCTGTGGGGTGCAGTACTGCAATGTGCCTTTGCCATGCACAACTGACATAACACGCTATATAAAATTCTGATTTTGGTTTATCAGGGGTACTTTGATATTCTCTTCCTCTAATTTTTGAGTAGAAGCTTTCCTTCCTTTTCAGTCATAGTGAGTTACCATATTTGTAGCAAGAACTGATTGGAAAATGGAGACAGAAGCAGAGAAACTCAGCCCAACCTCTCCCTCCTGATCATGCCAAAGATTCACTTGATGAGCTAGATGCAATTTAGAGGAAGAGAAACAGTATCCGGGCTCAAAATTGTGAATGACTGTTTCTACAGAAAAGTTAGACAAGACTGTTTTTGTGCGTGGCTTGTACCTGTCTGTGCAGGTAGAAGGATCTTTTCTGGTATTTAAGCAGTCTTTAATAGCAAGAGGTGATTAAAGGTAGGGACTGTATACAATGTACAACATCACTGTACTATATATTAAATTGCTAAATCTTCAGGAGTTTGCACTGAGCCCTATTTCCTCAGTCATTACCTCGTATACACCTGGGCTTTGCTACTGCTACACCAACAAGCAATAATACAGCAAGAATTTTATCAGAAAAAAAAATAAAAATAAAAAAGAGCTACATACCCACAGCTGCATTGCTGAAGTAGTATCATCTAAAGAGCATAACACTTCAGAAGTGTGTGTTTGTGTACACAGAAACATTTACAAATATACATTTATATAAGCACACACTTGCGTATTAAGCATGTACAAGTACACACGTCATCATAATGCATATATTTGCTTTTCAGTAAGGAATCAGTTATAGAGACAAATGTGGAGAATTTCTGTAATTCCAATAATTCACTAAAAGCCCACCAGCTGTGTCCAAACTGGTACTAAAAGTTGCATGGTTATTTTCTTATGCACTTTTCTTCTATCCCCTCAAATTATTATCAAAGGGTTTATAACCAGAGGAAATATCTCCAAATATAATAACAGCTTGCAAAGACTTGAAGGGTATGTTTCAGCTGCCAAAATAAAAATGAGTAGGGTTCCTAGCTATGAGTAGGTTTTAGTGTCAATGCATTTGGACATCAGTAAATCAAAGCATACCACATGGAACTTTATAATACAAATTATGTACCAGCATTTTTATCATAAGCCCATTCAGTCTTATTTATTTGTTCAGAAGTTACTTCTAATCTACTTAAAATCCGCAAGAGAACATAGCCTTCTAAGTCACTACTTCCTTGCAAATAATTAAAATAAAGTACTCAAAATCCCTGGTATTTGTGGTGTCATTATTCCTGTCTTTACAAAGATGAATCACTAATTCCAAGATTGTAAAGCTTATATTCAAAGATCTGCATGAAAGATACTATCAGTAATTTTAAGAGCTATTGCACGAAGTATGGTAAGGATAGCTTGTAAATCTGTTACCTTTAGTGATCTGAAAATCTGTGCACACAACACATTCCATTTTAAAGAAGAACCTTTAGAAAAAATGTAAGGTATAGAAAGCATCTACTGTTTGCTGTGGTTTTTTCTATCTTGTACATCAGGAAGGCTCATTGTACCTTGTAGTAGGACCATTATATTTAACTGAAGTTCTGGTAAACAGCATGATTTCTTGACTGAAACTATTTTCAAATAATAAATACATTCAGGGTACTGCATTCATTTGCTATACATGACTGATTATGGCACACCTATTTGACTTAGAAAAACACTTGGTGTCTGCAGCCAAGTCACAGATAATAAATGTACAGCGGTTTTAATTTCACTTAGTGTAGCCTCCTATACATAGTGCTATTATCTATACTAGGAAAAGAGACATCTGTAATTTTGCACTATTGATAGCACTAAGCCTGTAGCAGTATCTGTCTTTTTGCCACTGAACAAAAAGGATCAGCCTAACCTTGTCAGGGAGAATAAATATTGTGAAGAAGAAATAGACCAGCTAATACAGTAGGAGGAAAAAACCCAACAAAATAGGTTGGTTTCCAGTCATTCAACTTCTGCTCCGAATCTGAACCAGCATTTTCAAACTATGTGTGGGTTAAGAACAATTGCTTTGCATTAACTTAATTAATGGACAGCCTGAGAGACTAGGTAGCTTGTAAAGAAAGTACAGAACAGAAGGTTAAAAAGGAATATGATGATAAGGTCATTGGGTGCTACAGGACAGATAACTATTCAGCAATGCAGACCATCTTAGAGCTATGTTAGACAGAACTTAATTCCAAAACTAACTGAGCAAAGCCTTTGTTCTGGTGAAGAGCCCCCTCAAATTGTAAAGGTTAAATTTTACCTTCAAACTATCTTATAAGTGTAAGAAACTAAAAGTAAAAAATAGTAATTTAAAGATAAACAGCAAGACAAACAGCAACTCTGGTTTAACCTAATATGATTAGACATGAGAATAATTGCTATTATGATGAATGGATGATAACAAAATGCCTTAGAGCAGATTTGGTTTTTCCTCTGTTTTACCTATTTGCATGAGATATACTTTATCAGTATAAGATTTGTTTTTTACTTTTAACATACGTATATTCAGAAATCTAAAGTCTACTTGTGATTTCTCTGATGGATCAATTTGAACAGCATGGAAAATGCTCCTGATGTGGCAGTTGTTATGCCCTGGCCAGGACAGCCTCAAATTTGGATGGTATCAGACACAATGGTGAGCGGTGAGAGAGAAATGATTCATGTCCATATCTGGATGGAAATGTCAGCCATTGTTAGAGTCACTTGAGAAGACAGGAGAGAGAATATCTTGCATCATGTCTTCAACAGGATGAGTTTACTGTCGTTTATAGAATGACAGGGCAGGGGATGTCAGGGGACTACAGCCACAGATAAATTCCAGACATGCAGAAGACAGCAGAGGGAACCATAGAGTGATGTGATGTATGACAGATTACAGCTCACATTCCGAAAATTATTCTCAAGCTGACACCACTTAAAATTGCTGGAGGGTGAAAAATGTTTCTGAAAAAATTCACATCATTTTTGCCACTTCAGTTCTAATGTTTTTTGTGTCCTTGCTTGTGAGGTTTTTTTTGTTTAGTATTTTTCTTTTATTTCCTGAACTTTTCATTTTAAGCTTGAAAAAAATAGATATTCACATTAGAAATCATGCCAATTTGTCAATAATTCACATCAAATGTTACTGTTGACAGCCAGCTTCACATCAGGCAACTCCAGTCTCACAGTTCTGATAGCTGGACATTCTAGTATAACTTTTGTTCAGATGAGACCTGCTCTGAACCCGAGACTTCCTAGAATGAAAAACAAAAATAAAAAATTGTACAGACTACAAACAAAATGAGAAGGTCAGTCCTAATTTTTGACTGCTACAGAAGATTTTAGTAGTATAAAGAAGGTCACCTAAGGTATTTCACTAAGCATTTCAGATACAACGGGCGAGATCTTTCCACTGCCTATAAATCTTGCTGTTGCCTTTTTCTCTCTCTCTAAGCCCTTCAGAGACATGAGCAAGAGGAGGTTTAATTCAGCCTGACTGTCTTCATTTATTAGTGCATCTCAGTGCCTATCCAAGGTGACTCTAAGCCTGCAGGGTCACTGAACCTGGTAACAGTGCTGGATGTAAAAATTCAAGTCCTAAGTGATAACATGGAGCATCTAGAGAAGAAGGTTGTACACAGGAATCTGCACACAGTCACAACAGCCATCAAATAGAACTTGTTTTAAATTACTTACCTGGCGACACCACAGCTTTCGAAATATTTGCAAATAGGCCAACACCATAAGACACAGTGGTGCCATGTATGTCACCAGAAAAAAGCAGGTGTGATACATTTTGGGGTAAACCTCAGCTGGAAATAGAATTCAAATAAGAAAAGGGCATTTAAATATACATACATTTCATACTCACTTTAAGCCAAATTATTTATATAGATATGCATGTGTTTTTCAAACAATCTTATAATGGAAGATATATCCAATAATATTATGGCCAGGATTGATTTTTTAATCACTTCTATGCACATTCTGTTTCTATTATAAACATGCTTTTATCTCAAGTATCTTTTATACTACATTATTGCTTTCAAATCACATTATTACTTTAGGTACAAAGTCTTAAGAAGGTTTTTTTTTAATTAAATCAGTGAAAGAACATTTCATTATCTAACTATAGCTAACCAATTATGCAACCTGCCTCATCTTTGGCATATTAACAGGTTGTATAACTGTCTTTCTTTAGTTTTAATTCTACAAAGGCTACTTTGTATCCCTGAGTAAATTGCACAGTCTCTCACCTATAAACGGAGAACGCAGACTACAGCAAGCAAGATGTTAATTGGAGGAGAGACAGACATTTCTTAAATTACTTTTGGTGGCAGAATAAATGTGTCTTAAAGGTATACTCAGTGATTTATTTTTATGATTACAGTAAAATAAAACAGAATTAATTCAGTCGGGTGCTCTAAAGTTAGTAAATTTCCAAGATTATTTTTGATTCAGCTTTAACAATATTGAGTTTGCTACCATTGTGTTCTAGTTTCCTGTGTATCTCTTTTCAAAGGAGAATTTATGAATGTTATTTGGTTAGAGAAAAACATCTTACAAATGCTATGAGTGTATCGTGTCTTTAAGAATGTTGTATTATAAGCTTTGTTGTTAGACTATAGCCGAACGTGCAGTGGGTGCCTGGGAAACCTGCTTTCACTTTTGTCCTTTGGTAATACCAAACATTGATATCAATTATAGCTTAACATTTATGGATGGCCTCAGAAAAGGAATGAGTATTATGCAGAGTGACAATACATAGCAGAAGAGAAACTGCTCACTATATGAGCAGTTAGATTGCACAGTAATCCTAAACATTGCATTTTGGGCTAGAGAAGAGAAGGAATATTTATGTTAATTTCTAGAATTTCTGAATGTTTCAGGATGACAAGATCTGTAACTGAAACTCTGTATTGATTGCAGTTTTAATTTTTTTTTTTTTAAAAGAAAGAAAGAAAGAAAAAAAGAGTAGCATGAGATCAAAACATTGGTGAGTCAAACTTACTTTCTGCCTTTTAGTGTGACTGAGATTGTGGACCCTATCAAACAAGAGGTCCCTTTGCATGTCAGGAGAATCCCTGAGAGTTTGATTAGATGAGGAGATACGCAGACTTGGCCCATAACTCTCATAGCAGGAAGGAGAACACCATCACGTTAATCCCAAACTCGGCCTCAATCCCAGACTCTTGCAATGTCACATTCAGTGTTGGAACTCAAAAAGCCAGCTGGTTCACCAGTCAAAAAACTTCTGTATCAGGGACATGGAAACTTGCTATAGCAAAATCCAGCCCATGTTCACCGCTAGCAAAGGTAATAGAGACTTTGCCATCAACATTTGACTGTTTTGATGGATCAGGGTCCAAAGAATTCAGATGAGCAGCATTTGGCTCCTTACTTGCTCTAAGATCCTGTAGCAAACCAGCTTACCAACTCTTAACTGAGCAGCTGCAGCTACTAGCTCTTGGCAATGTCCCTGGGGAAGGCAGACCATTTGGGGCAGTTTTTTATAAATGGTGATAACCTGACTTTGTATATTGACTGATGATCTCAGAATTGTTTTTGCATTCCAGAAAATGCAGCCTCACAGCAGTTCTGTTAGCCAGGGAAATACTGGCATGCATGCTTCACAGGTGGAGAGATTAAGGAGAAACTGGAGTAATGTGACTTACTGGGATCACAGGAGGTCAGAGCTGAAAGTACATTCTTTCTGCTCAGAAGGAGGTGCCATCTGCCTCATCAATGCTCTGCAGGCAGCCAGGCCCCTTTCAGGTAGAAGGACAGTACATATTTAAAAGGCCATCTGGAGTTTATGGCTTCTAATTTAGCATTCCAAGTAAAGTGAAACATTAAATGAGCCTAGCTATCTGCAAAGAACTGATGGACCAAGTTGGAGGAAGATCCTAACACTTCCCTTTGAAGTTTAGCCACCTGGAAAGTGCCAGCTGCTAAACATCAAAGGAAACCTGGCCCTCCTCCACCCAGGGCAAAGCCCTTTGTAGAACTTCTCCCTAAGGAGCATGACTCTGTTTAGCTTCTCATGCCAAAAAAAGCTTTAAAGCTGTCTGACAATCACAGCAGCACAAAGGAGGAAGGGCTGGTTTGGGATACTGTTCATTTATCAAGTTGGTGAGTTCCAGGATCCTTGAATGAGAACATCAATTAGTCTATGGTCCTGGTGATATATTAGCTGCCTGTGCTGAACCTCTTACTGCCAAGCAGAGGAGAAGAAAAGTGTCTTTGCCTTCCATGGTCACTTAATGGGCTTCAGGACAGTGGCAGATAATTTTTTAGATGGAATAAACATCACTTTAAGAATAAATTAATGATTCTCACATCACTGGCTGCTGTTTTACTGAAAAGAGGGAAGAGGACAAAAAGCAAACAAGTGGTCACAGGGATTGGACTGGGTTGAGATCGACGTCTCTACTCAGTACCAGTCATACAGTATGATTACTGCACCTGAAAAAGGATCAGTATCATAAACCAAATATTCTTCTGTCTGCTGCAGGGGTTATTAAACAAATTTCAAACTTTTCTAAAGCTTCTTTAACAGCACTCTGTTCCAGTCACAGACTGTTGCTCAATGAAGCAACGAAGTAGAAGACTGAAACTATAGCTTCTGGATTTTTGCCAGAATTTTACTATATTTGTGTAACTACATATATAAATACATTTATACATATACATATGTATGCAAACTGAAAACAACCCAGACAGATTCAAAAGGTTTTGACATATCTAGCAAATGAAATATTTCCTTAAGCCACAGGTGCATAATGAAATTGGTGCTCTTGACAGCTTCTCTAAGAACAGGCTAAAACAACAAGACTATCAAGTTTGTGGAGCATCAGTATAGAGTTCCCAGGTTCCCCACTTTCAGCAAGATATCTATGAGGTTTTGGAGCTACCAATAGGAAGAAGCAACGCAGCTAAAAGAGTATACTTTTAGAATAAAACTTAATAAATAAGGATGTTAGGAAGTAGGTGCTCATAGCAGAGAAAATCCGATCACACAACACAATATTTTCCAAACTATGTTCCTATGTCAGAGTGCTTGCAGTTAGCTAAGACTAAAACTACATTTTCAAACCTGATATATTATGCTTGAGTTATCAATTCATGGTAACACCAAGCATAATTTCAGTATTAGCAATATTCTGACTTTTTGCTGCATTAAAATATCCCACAAGTTTTTCCTTAAATTCTGAACACTTCAATAAACAGGATGTATAAACCTTCATGTTATAATGCAATTTCCAGCTATTTGTTTTCCAGAATTAAGAAAATACGGTTTTGTACTATTTTTTGAGTAGTCTAAGAGGAAATAGAACAGAAAGTCTTCCCTTTGTTTCCATTCAACCATCTAGTTTTGGGAAAGGATTATCTCCATATTCTTTTTATCTTTTGCAAAGGGGTTGGCTAATGCACTTTGGCTAACACTCTGTTTGTTAATAGATCTAAGAGAATGTACTTAGCTGACTTGGACACATGGTGAACTCATTTTAATATACATTTCTTTTATTTTGGCACTTTATCATCAAATTCAGCACATAGAAATTAATAGACTATTATAGAACTGTGGCCAACACTGGCTCCTTCAGAGAGTCTGTGTAGGTCACACGCTGGATCCTTTTGCATTCCCAAATAAAATATTGTTATTAGACAGTTCTCAAAATGAAAAACCCTCAGCCTAGAATTGGCAATGCATTTTATATTCAGGAATGCCAGAAGCAATTAAAAAGAAATTGAGCCATGTTTTAGGCTGAACTATTGCTCCATTTGCAGTCACTGGCAGCTCTCCAAAAGCATGCTTGAAATCTTATTAGCGAGGGTGGCCACTATTTTTTCCTCCCTTAAGGAGCCCAAGTATCACAGTGCTGATCAGACCTTCCTCCTAGACACTCATCAGACTTGTATGGATTTCAGCAGCTGGACCGAAGTTTGGGTAGGGTACTGTGATGTCTCCTGCTTTGGCATCTCTGACACTTTCCTGGACATGGCTTCCCACTAGTCCTCCACAGCACCTCATGTTTCAGTAGCTCTGAGTACCCAGAATTAGAATAGACTTCCAAAACACTTTGGAAAGTGTCATTAAGCACTCTCTTTTGCAGTCCCAACCTTGACAATTCACAGTTTAATATCCTTGGGACATACAGTGTACATGATGTCTGTAAAGATTTCATCAGATGTACCTTGATTTTAGACAGCATAAATTATATGTAGCTCTAAACAAAGCAGTAGACACCCAAATATAATCTCTTTCCTCTTCACATAAATTGACTCTCCTATAGGATTTGCTCAGGGTCTTTTGAGAGTGTGCAGTATCTACATCTCCAATTTCTCTTTGCAAATATGGCTTATTCATAGGAACATGAATTTATTTCTCCTTTGACCTTTTAGGTTTTGTTTTTTTTTTTTTTACCCTAGATATTCCCATAGTCAAAAAAGGCAAACCAAAATCCAAGAAAAAGGCAACTATTTTATTTGAAAATACTAGCTTTTTGTTCCTTCTTGTGGCCTCAAGGTTCACCAATCTTTTCAAACTGCTATCCTGTTATCCATGTTCTTTTGTTCTTCTGTTTGGGGGCCTTCTATAGTATTTTCTGTACTTTGGCCCAACTCACTGTCCTTAGACTTTTCCAATTGACTGGAAATTATTTGTGGCTAATGACACTCTATTCTCCATAGTCTGAAAGGGATGTTAAGGTTAATGTTATATGTTGAAGTATAGTGTTTTACCCTCATTGATAATATATGGTTAACTACTTTTACTAAGTAACTGCATGATTTGAGCAACCTACTTGTAACTTAACACACAGGAGAGTTCTTCTGTCAAGTTACTATGATAAGCTATTATTAGGAAGTGGAGAGGATTATTTTTTATGAATAGCTGAAATGCACCAGCAGAATAAGTAGCAATGATGATGCATTATCATTAGAAGAATAATTCATTAAAAAGGCAGCAGGATAAAAATAGGATTGTTATCTTTAGGTGGAATTAAAAGCTTCTCATTTCAGAAAACTCTAACTTTTTAATGTAAAATTATTTTACATTGCATGCTCAACATAAATAAAAAAAAAAAGAAAAAAGTGTTTGGAGTGTTTGCACTTCATTTCTGAAACCACACACAAAAAAACCTTAATTCTATGCTCAAGTACTTGCCTTTGTTATACCCCTTTCAGCTCTGGCATATCTATCGGCTGCAATTACTCTAGCGCAGTACTGAACAAGAGGCACTCTTTAAAATAGTTCCAAGGCTACTTTGGACTCTGTCTTTCGAAAGCAAGATTTTCCTGTTGGGAACCAAAAAGTGGCAAACACAGATCTGGAATGTTGAGATTGTGTTCCCTGAAGAAATGTTCTCCTGACTCCTTAATTAACTAACTAAAGTGCTTTCCATAATTGTAATTTCCTAGGTTGGTTAAAAGAATCTTTGCTGCAGATCTAACCTTGAATTGATGACAACACTTCATAATAGTTCTGCAGCCAAAATGACGGGATACAACTCATGCCTGGAATGAACACTGTGAAAGAACATAGCCCCATAAATACTGCAGCACCTAGCAGCAGACTAGGATACAAAATTGTTTACAGATGAAGAAAGAACACTAGCAGTAAAGATTAGATGTGGTTTCTCCAATGAAACAGCAAGTACCATACTTGTAGCTTAACAGAGGCCTCCTCTAACCTACAAATTTTCAGCACACCTTTGTCCATAATGAGTGCCAGCTACCTAATGGCCATCTCTGCCCCACTGCAGGACTAACTGGGATGAAGGAGATCAAGAACAGGGAATGCGACAGCCAACGTCTTCTCAATGCCCCAGTGGTTCTGCAGAGGCTATTAGCAGGGGAGGAACTTCCACATCAACACATGGAAAAGCCCTCAGCAATTCAAGCTGCTTAAGCTAATTTATCATGATAATTAAGTACAGGTGACCCATTTGTAGTTTATCTTAATTGGTCACAGGACTGAAATCTTCTACAGAGGCAGCTCTGGGAGAGAATCTGATTGTGTTTTAGTCTGACTTGAGGCTATTAAACAGGCACCTTTTAGTTATATGTTTTGGCAAACTTGGCTTTATTTTCCCATGTGTGAATAATGGTATTACTGATGGTCACTATATCCAGTGTCAGAGTCACAGCATGTAACTCAATACACCCTATTAGTGTTGGAGTTATGCCAAGGCCCACCAGAGTTGAGTCATAACCATTCAGGTGGGTGGCTAACACCACTAGTGTGACTGGAGACAAAATAGGAGTAGTTACTCCCTGACAACCCTTATGGGTTCTTACACCTGAATTCAAATACAGAAAAAGTTAGATCCAAAGTTAATCTGGAAAGGCAGAATTATACTTCTTGAGTAGAATAATTTGTAACTGATTACATTTACAAAGTTATTTAAATGATTTTGTCCATGACAAATTTCAAATTGTAGGCTAACTTGCTACCCCATGTCAATAACATCTTTATAAATTCTGTAAGGACATTCAATTTGCATTGAAGTCCCAGGAAATCTATAAAGACTAGTGAAATATCAGCAAAAGCAATATATCAGGTAAACAGAAATTCTGTTCTCATGTAGCTCTTTCCAGAGGCTAAATAGTGAAATCTTTGTAAACCTGCAATGTCCATTGATCACAGAATTATATAAGAATAAGCATTTAAGGGTGGGAACATTTCTACCCTCTGGGAAACATTAACACGGTCAAGAAACAAGCCAGCCTCATTCATTTAAACTTGGTTTCAAATGTACTTTAGGTCTTCGCAACAGAAAAAAAGATGGGATTTGACAGTATTTTGAAAATGGTAGTTCTAGGAAAACTTATATAATTAAGAACATTTTGTGATATGTTTATACAACTTGACTGCATATTAATATGTCCTGATATTTCAATCACATAACAGCAGTACAAATGCAGTCTTTATGGTCAATGACACACTCACCTCCCCAGTGCTCATCACACACTGTGAACAAGGTGGTTTTATTGGCTAATCCTGGGAACACACTGCTGCACTCCATAACAATAGCCTGAGGAATCATTATGATGCAGGACACAATCCAGATAATTATAATGCTGTTCCTTGCTCGCTTGGCTGTGCTTTTAAACATCAAAGGGTGACAAATTGCATACCATCGATCCAAAGCAATGCAGCTAAGTGTTAGTACAGACACAGAGACTGAAACTGTCTAAAAAAAAGGAAATAGTATGTAAATGTCATTTTTTTAGAACTTTCAAAATTATTTATTGTAATTTTTTTCCCAGAGTTTTAAAAAATTATTTCTATATAGTTAGCTCTCTGTCTGCAATTATTAAACAGAAATTATTCCCAGAAAAACACTCCTTTTAAAATCGCTTCTTACAGAATTACAACAGATATCCCCATCTGCTGTAGTCCCACTAGAACAAACAGGACAATTCACAGATTACAGTGCTACCCAAACTGAGTAAGAGAAGCAGGGTCAGATTCTGAAAGAGCAAAATTATGCAACTTAGAATTTGCAAAACTTTATCTGAAAAATTACTTTAAAAACATTCAACAACTACTTAGATTCTTTTTTTCTTTGTAGAACTTTTGTTTGTTTGTTTTCTGTGTTATATTTGGATACCAGAACCATCATTTTGCCTTTTCAATTTTCATGGGAACAATGGAAATTCAGGGTCTCATGAAAAAAACACAACAACCAGCTAAAGGCAGACTGAGTCATTTTACCCTTCTATTCAGTGTAGGAAATAACCCATCATTTTGGTTTTCTTCTTTCAGTCTATACACCTTCTCTTTGGATTTTTCTTTCACTAGAATGGAAGCTTTGAAACAAGTTTTGTGATTTTGATTCTATTGAATAGATGGCACAACGTGGCTCTTCAGCCATACAGGTAACTGCTGAAAATATAAATTGTACTGGGGGCACTGAGCTGATCACCTGCAGACGTTCAGAGTTCTGCTTAATTCTTTTGATTCATAATGACTGAAAGGCCAAGCACTTTTCATTCTACTATGCCCAGTCAGTTCATCTAACCATCTATTCTTAAGAAATATATTTGTCAATCATTTTTATGCAAATGATCTCATAACCAATTAAGCCCAGTGGTGGCAATTATTGCTTAAGGTAGACAATCTGATCAGTTCCCAGTGAACCAGGATACTTTGGCTGGTTCAGTGGTTTAGTGGTTTACTTAAAATACGTAAAGTAAGTCACTAAATATTACTTAAAATTACTTAAAATACTTACTTAAAATACGTAAAGTAAGTCACTAAATCAGTTCCCAGTGAACCAGGATACTTTGGCTATTTCTAAAATATGTAAAGTAAGTCACTAGACATATGAAAGCCCAGACTCCCTTCAGAAGTTCGGGTTCTCTGTCCTGGACACTTATGTAGCTGTTTAGGTCCACACACACACAATATAACTTACTATAATTCTATTTACAGACATTTTTATTGCTTTATATCCCCTCTAAATTATTAAAACAGATCACAAAAAGTGAAGAGCATCAGACAAATGTTCCAGAAAGAGTATTGCCCAAGTGTAAAAATCAGATGAAACAAGAATAATATTTATTAAGCATGAACATATTCACAAGTGGAACAGTCCTTTAATCCTCAGCAGGTATCCTGAGATATCTACTTCAGTAGCAGGGATAGACTTCCATCAGATTATCACTGTTAGGAAGATGCTATTGTTCTCTTTTTTTGTAACATGGGTAATGTATATACAAATGCAGTAAAATAATACCTGTAAGTAGGGAATCACTTTGCAGAGGGGCTGCCCAAAGAACCAAGTTTCTGTGATGTCCACTACTAAAGTTGCTGGAAGACAAGTAATTGTGACCAGAATGTCAGCCAGAGAAAGATTCACTATGAAATAGTTGGTAACTGTCCGCATGTGATGATTCTTCCACACTGCAATGCAAACTGAATTTGGAAAGACAAGTTAGTGAGATAGAAATGACTTAGGGAATGCTTTAACAGGAAAACACTTGGCTTTGCAGAATTAAGGAAATGTTTGTGTCCTTTGTTTAATACAGAATACCTGAATATGCAGTTCAGCATAAGAACCATATGTTGTCTTTGGAAGTGCAAACAAGAGGGTAAGTGAAGAGAGAATCTTAGCACTCAAATAGCATTTTTCCACAGACCACAGCAAGGGAAATAATCTGATATACAAACCAATTTATTTTCCTCTAAGTACCATTTTCACTAGCTATTCACACAACATTCTTCATCTCAATTTTAATGCATTGGCTCTAGTCTATGGCAATACACACCTACATTTGCAGAAGTTTATATTTTTCTTATGATATGTGATGTTTAATTCAAATTGCTACCACATGGAATCTTGTAAATTGGATCAAGATGACAATCATTTTGCTGGGCATAATATATTTATTGCATCTGTGGAGAATCTATAATAGTTGTCTGGGCAACTGTAATTTGAGACAAATAAATAATGGTAATTTTTCCAGTATTAAGTGCTATCCATTTTAAATGTGGTATATTTTTGATGAAGATTCCTATGATCAAGAGCAGCATGTAGCAAACATTCTATTAAGATGTGCCTTTAAAGCTTGTTTTATATCTTTTCTTTTCCCTCTTTTTCAATTTCAAAGGCAACTCAGTCATTTAATATGGTTGCACTAAATTAATAAGCTAATACATTAAAAATGAAAAAATTGAGTCTGAGAAACTAGCCTAAAAATAAGTTTTTTAATAACTTTGTAAGTAAAACCCTGAGAGATTGTAGCAATCAATAGCTTTTGAATGTTTTAGATTCAGTCACCAAAAGCTCTTTAAAAAGTGATGCATGAAATTTTCTGGAAATGCCACAATACTTCTTGTAAGAAAAGAATACAACTCATTGTACATCAAAGATTCTTCTCATGTAAACAATAATTCACCTATCATGCAAATCCAGATGAAGATTCAAATTCTTCTTAATCTGTCAGGATATAACACTATGCTTAATTTAGATATATGAAATAGATCACTGAATGCTAAAGAAAAGTTTGAAGGGTCCTCAAGAGGTTGTCCAAATCTAAAATGGAACCAGCTAGAGTTAAGTCATTCTCTTATGAAACTAGCTAAAACAGCTGGAAAAAAATTACGCAGACTTTAAGGCCCATAAGGTCTTGAGATCAGATGCTGCTTTAGATCCTAAGAGCGATAATGTGTCTGAAAGCTTGAGTCCATCATCCAGCTGCATCAGTTGATCTAATAAAATATATTACTTCATTCCACAAATCTTGTTTTAAGCGCCTAAGTTTTCAGACCAACACACCGATAGCAAGACTATCACTAAACCGTTGTTGCCAAATTTACACTTTAAAATCTGCTATATTTGAAGATATCATGTCTCTCTTACATGTGTTGCAGTGTTTAACTATCTTCCCTATTAAAAAGGAAACAAGCAACCAAAAAAAACAAACAACTTCTAATGTCTAATCTACTTTTCTTTTTGCTGCTAACTATATAACTTTTTTTCCCTGTATGCAGGCAGCAAGGAATAAGAGTTTTTCCTTGTGGCAATGCTTCATATATGTAATGATTGTTACTACACCTTTCTGCAGTTTTCTTTTCAGACTGCACAACTCCAGAACTCTTAATCTTTTACTGCTGGTCATTTTTTGAACTTCTCCAACCATCCTTATTGCTGCTTACTGTACACTCTTCAGACTGGATTGCAACTTTGTTGTCAGAGTGCAGTGACTGAAATCGGCACAATAACTCATTCAAGAACTTACCAGAGCTTTAGCAGGAGCTGTAATTAGAGTACTTCTTTGTGACGGCTATGTTTAGGCATTTAGGAGTAGTTTAGGACAAAGACAGAGGGACAGAGTAGATGGCCTTCAGTTTCTCTAAGAGAAGGTGATTTTATCAACTACCTTTTTAGGGTATAGGCTTCCAAATTTCATCTAAAACCCCTGTTGTGCCACAATACATGTTCTTCAACCATGTCTTCAACATGTTGCAGACATGATTCCAAATTCTATAGCTTGTATAAATTTAATCTTTGATATACACCTATCATGCTCTTATAAATGCAAGTCAAAACCCTTCTGTAAAGCTTTTAACTGTTCATAGAATCATAGAATCATAGAAT